TTGTTTAGATTCGGTTTAGTGTTGGTTGGTTTTCAAGCTAGTTTAGTGGTATTCATCCCAATTCAGTTCCAGTTTAGTGTTTTCAACTCAGTTCAGTATTAGTTCAATGGTTTTGTGGCACAGTTTGGTGCTAACTTGGTGGTTTTCATCTTGGTTCATATCAATTTAGTGTTTTTAAGTCTGTTTAGTGTCGATTCAATGTTTTTTAGCCAATTTGGTTCCAGTTCAATGTTTTTAACCTAGTTTAGTGCCGGTCCATTGATTTTCAGCATAGTCTGATTTAGTTTAGTGGTTTTCATTCTACTTTAGTTCTGGCTTAGTGTTTTCAAACTGGTTCACAACCAATTTTAGAGTTTTCGTCCCAGTTCACTTATTTTTTTGTGGCTTTCATCACTGTTTTAACCCTTTTTTGGCTGATTCAATTTCGATTTTGCTTGGTTTATCTTGTTTTTTGTTGTCATCATTTAATTTGTTGTTTCCGATGGTTTGTTATGGTATTGTTGGTTGTGTTTGTTTCTGCCGATATTTGTGTTGGTGGTGTTGGTGTTATGCTTGTCCTTTGTCGTCACTGTGTTGTNTTTGTAGTTTTACAATTGTCAGTATCTTCATCAATTGTTGCTATCATTATCAATTGTTGTGAGGTGGCTGAATTCGTGTTCGTGTCTCTAGTGCTTGATCATCATCAGTTGTTGTGAGGTGGCTAAATCTGTGTTCGTGTCTTTGGTGCTTGATCATTGGTGCACATTTTAGTGTTTCAATCTAATTTAGTATTGGTTCAGTCATGTTCGAGCCAATTTGGTGCTAATTTAGTGGCTTTCATCTCTGTTCAATGTAAGTGATTTCAACTGAGTTTAATGTTTGTTTAGTGATTTTTGGCACAATTTGGTGCTGGTTTAGAGGTTTTCACATAGATTCAATTTTGGTTTAATGTTTTCAACCCGGTTTAGTGATGATTCAGTGGTTTTTAGGAAAGTTTGGTGCTTGTTTAGATTCGGTTTAGTGTTGGTTGGTTTTCAAGCTAGTTTAGTGGTATTCATCCCAATTCAGTTCCAGTTTAGTGTTTTCAACTCGGTTCAGTATTAGTTCAATGGTTTTGTGGCACAGTTTGGTGCTAACTTGGTGGTTTTCATCTTGGTTCATATCAATTTAGTGTTTTTAAGTCTGTTTAGTGTCGATTCAATGTTTTTAACCTAGTTTAGTGCCGGTCCATTGATTTTCAGCATAGTCTGATTTTAGTTTAGTGGTTTTCATTCTACTTTAGTTCTGGCTTAGTGTTTTCAAACTGGTTCACAACCAATTTTAGAGTTTTCGTCCCAGTTCACTTATTTTTTTGTGGCTTTCATCACTGTTTTAACCCTTTTTTGGTTGATTCAATTTCGATTTTGCTTGGTTTATCTTGTTTTTGGTTGTCATCATTTAATTTGTTGTTTCCGATGGTTTGTTATGGTATTGTTGGTTGTGTTTGTTTCTATCGATATTTGTGTTGGTGGTGTTGGTGTTATGCTTGTCCTTTGTCGTCACTGTGTTGTTTTGCTTTGTGTTATTATGATCGTCGTTTACTATCACTTGTTTTGGTTTGGTCGTTAATTGCTTCTCTAGAAAATCAAGTGATGTCTTAGACTTCATATGGAGCAAACATCTAGATTGTTGTTCACGGGAGTATGGTAGCTGTATGTGTCAATTAAAGACAGTCCTTGAATGTCTGCATTAGTTACCCAAAGCTTGGTTTTATCATTCTTATTGTTTATGTGGAGATTGCAGTGATTTTTTGACCAAATCATTGGTGTAGTCCACATTTAGGAGTCTTTATTCTAAGTTGGACATTTTTTATCTCTATGTTCCAGCTTGAGTGAGAGTGATATTTTCTTATATGGTGCTTTCGTAGGTGTGTGCGTTTTTGTGTAATGGTGTGAATGTGTGTCAATACAATGTGTGTGTGTTTTGGTGTATTAGCATGTATGTGTGTGTGTGTGTCCATAGTTTTGGTGTATTAGTGTGTTTATTTTGGAGGATTGTTTTTGATTCTTTTGGTGTGTTTTGGTGTATTAGTGCATATGTGTGTGTGTGTTTTTTTTGTAGCGACTAGTGGTGGTGGCAGTGACGGTTGGTGATNGTTGTAGTTTTACAATTGTCAATATCTTCATCAATTGTTGCTATCATTATCAATTGTTGTGAGGTGGCTGAATCCGTGTTCGTGTCTCTAGTGCTTGATCATCATCAGTTGTTGTGAGGTGGCTAAATCTGTGTTCGTGTCTTTGGTGCTTGATCATTGGTGCACATTTTAGTGTTTCAATCTAATTTAGTATTGGTTCAGTCATGTTCGAGCCAATTTGGTGCTAATTTAGTGGCTTTCATCTCTGTTCAATGTAAGTGATTTCAATTGAGTTTAATGTTTGTTTAGTGATTTTTGGCACAATTTGGTGCTGGTTTAGAGGTTTTCATATAGATTCAATTTTGGTTTAATGTTTTCAACCCGATTTAGTGATGATTCAGTGGTTTTCAGGAAAGTTTGGTGTTTGTTTAGATTCGGTTTAGTGTTGGTTGGTTTTCAAGCTAGTTTAGTGGTATTCATCCCAATTCAGTTCCAGTTTAGTGTTTTCAACTCAGTTCAGTATTAGTTCAATGGTTTTGTGGCACAGTTTGGTGCTAACTTGGTGGTTTTCATCTTGGTTCATATCAATTTAGTGTTTTTAAGTCTGTTTAGTGTCGATTCAATGTTTTTAACCTAGTTTAGTGCCGGTCCATTGATTTTCAGCATAGTCTGATTTTAGTTTAGTGGTTTTCATTCTACTTTAGTTCTGGCTTAGTGTTTTCAAACTGGTTCACAACCAATTTTAGAGTTTTCGTCCCAGTTCACTTATTTTTTTGTGGCTTTCATCACTGTTTTAACCCTTTTTTGGTTGATTCAATTTCGATTTTGCTTGGTTTATCTTGTTTTTGGTTGTCATCATTTAATTTGTTGTTTCCGATGGTTTGTTATGGTATTGTTGGTTGTGTTTGTTTCTATCGATATTTGTGTTGGTGGTGTTGGTGTTATGCTTGTCCTTTGTCGTCACTGTGTTGTTTTGCTTTGTGTTATTATGATCGTCGTTTACTATCACTTGTTTTGGTTTGGTCGTTAATTGCTTCTCTAGAAAATCAAGTGATGTCTTAGACTTCATATGGAGCAAACATCTAGATTGTTGTTCACGGGAGTATGGTAGCTGTATGTGTCAATTAAAGACAGTCCTTGAATGTCTGCATTAGTTACCCAAAGCTTGGTTTTATCATTCTTATTGTTTATGTGGAGATTGCAGTGATTTTTTGACCAAATCATTGGTGTAGTCCACATTTAGGAGTCTTTATTCTAAGTTGGACATTTTTTATCTCTATGTTCCAGCTTGAATGAGAGTGATATTTTCTTATACGGTGCTTTCGTAGGTGTGTGCGTTTTTGTGTAATGGTGTGAATGTGTGTCAATACAATGTGTGTGTGTTTTGGTGTATTAGCATGTATGTGTGTGTGTGTGTCCGCATAGTTTTGGTGTATTAGTGTGTTTATTTTGTAGGATTGTTTTTGATTCTTTTGGTGTGTTTTGGTGTATTAGTGCATATGTGTGTGTGTGTGTTTTTTTTGTAGCGACTAGTGGTGGTGGCAGTGACGGTTGGTGATGCATGGTTGTGGTGGTGGTGATAATTATAAAATTAAAAAGTGTATTAGAGGACTAGAAGTTTATTTTTTTTCTTTTCTTTTTGCTTCTACTTATTGACTTGATAAATCATTAATCTTAAAAACAATTTTTATAAGCTATTCCAAATGCCACCTTAATAGGTTTTCTTGTTTGAGTGTATGTTTTTATCAAGTTGGGATCAAGCTGATCATTGTGGCTCCTTAATGTTATCCTTTTTAGACTCCAGTGAAAGTAGAAGTGACAATCAACAAAAAAATTGTCTAGTAAAATAACCTTAAGAGGCTTCGACAGAAAGGCCTGTAAAAACAATGATTTGCTTTAGTTGGAAGGGTGTCTCGGTTACAATAAAATGTTTTGGACTTTATTTATTTATTTTTTTTTGGGGGGGAGGGTTTTACTTGATTTTTGGGGGGTTTTACTAGATTTTTTAGGAGTTTTACTGAATTTTTTTGGAGAGGGTTTTGTTAAATTTTTGGAGGAGTTTGACTGGATTTTTGGGATGTTTTACTAGATTTTAATCGTCAACTCATCGTCTTCTCTTTTTTCTTGGTTTAAATACATAATTTTTGAGAGAGAGAGAGAGACCATACCTGCTATTGCGTTGAAGCCTTCTGTGGATTGACAAGAGAAGCCTTTAGTCGGTGGAGCCTTTTGCGATGAAGCCTTCAGTCGGTGGAGCCTTTGCGAAGAACCCTCTGTCTAGTTGAGAAAGACAACCAACGAAAGAGACTGAAATTGGGGGTTGTTTTTGGCGCAAAAACACAATAGCTAGCCTCTTTGCCTCGCCAAGAATGACAAGCCAAATGAAGGTTATGGGAAATAACTAGTCCNTGAATCTATATCCTATCAATTCCAAATGTCATCAATTCTAATCAAGTTCCGAAGTCTTACTCGATCTTAATGGATCTCATTGATGCCCAATACAACTGAGTACACTCCTATGGAAGATTACGTTGGTTTGTCGAAATTAGATGCAAATCGACTAATTTTAAAATTATGAAGACTCAAATCCTTCAGAATTAAAACAGTCAGAAGTTCAGGAGCATAGTACTTCAGATTTTAGGAGGATTCGATTTTGTAGTTTGTTCAAAACGATGTAGATAATCCTACAACCGAGTGGAAGTCAAAGCTCTAGTCGTAAGGCTAATAGTGATCAGACATTGGAGAAGCAAGGGTATATATTGAACCAGACAAAATTATGCAGTGCTGCAACAAATATTGAATTTCATTCAAACATAATCACTGGCAATTAACAGGGAAAACGAGAACCCGGAAGACAAAGTACCGTGAAGGAACACCAGTAATGAGGAATTCAAATCCTGTAACACGTTTAGATAAAGGTTAACTTGGATGCTACCTAAATTGAAGTTAATTTCCCTCCCATTTCTTTGGCCAGAAACAGAGAAGGGAATCACACGAGAATGCAGATAGCTTTATTTGGTTCATAATATGACCGCTGCATGTATTCCCTACCCTAAGTAATGCTCTCATACTCCAATATATATCTTTTGCAGTGTCTAAAGCTATCAAATTCCTGATACAGTTACCAACCAAATCCAGATTAAGGGGTCCATCCTTTTGTCTCCTATACTACGGGAGTGAAATCCCCTCCAATATATTTTTCCGAAATTTTATTGTTGGTGCTCACCTATGTAAATTCAAGTGCAGCCCATTGGTGGATCGATGAAGAAAATTGGAGGAAAAAAGTATTGGAGGTGAGCTGGATCTCATACCAAGTTTCTGAAGGTTCCAGATCCAACAGAGAGGCTACCCAGTAACCCACTCTACTGCCCAGTAGCTCACTCTCTAGTAGCCACCTCTATGGATGGCCTTCCGGCGGACTGCTTGACGGCGGACGGCTGAAGCTTTGACAAAGCCTTAAATGTGTTCCCTCTTCCTTGACTTATTTGGCCAGAAAACTCCTTATAAATAGGAAGCTTAGTGAACACCAGAAGTAGGCTCAAGATCAGTGAGGAAGAAACATAGAGAGATTTGGGAGAGATCTCATTTGTGAGAATTTTGTATAAATTCTTGTATTTTATTTCTAGAGAGAAATAAAAATATCCTCTTTGTTTATATCTTGTTTGTGATATGTTTTTTTTGTCCTGGGTAACCAACAGTTTCTTTCATGTATTCATGCCTGCTGAGATTTCAAAAATGATAAAATGAAGCATTAACAGTCTCGGTTGCTGGATTTTGTCAAGTAAATCTACTTATACCTCCCCATACCCTTTTACGAAGCTGGTTTCATGAAAGTATGGAAGTCCTAGGTTGAGTAGGGTAAGGGTGTATTGGNGATCTTTATGGATCTCATTGATGCCCAATACAACTGAGTACACTCCTATGGAAGATTACGTTGGTTTGTCAAAATTAGATGCAAATCGACTAATGTTAAAATTATGAAGACTCAAATCCTTCAGAATTAAAACAGTCGGAAGTTCAGGAGCATAGTACTTCAGATTTTAGGAGGATTCGATTTTGTTGTTTGTTCAAAACGATGTAGATAATCCTACAACCGAGTGGAAGTCAAAGCTCTAGTCCTAAGGCTAATAGTGATCAGACATTGGAGAAGCAACGGTATATATTGAACCAGACAAAAGTTATGCAGTGCTGCAACAAATATTGAATTTCATTCAAACATAATCACTGGCAATTAACAGGGAAAACGAGAACCCGGAAGACAAAGTACCGTGAAGGAACACCAGTAATGAGGAATTCAAATCCTGTAACACGCTTAGATAAAGGTTAACTTGGATGCTACCTAAATTGAAGTTAATTTCCCTCCCATTNCACCACGCGGAGGTGCACAACATGGAGGGCCCCACGGAGGTGCACAACATAGAGCACCCCAAGNGATAAGAGAGACCTTGACCCAAATTCGGAAGAACAGAAGACGCATCCTTCAGCTTCTCCTTTGCATCTTCTACGACACCCTCTACCGCTGGCGCCGCCTTCGATAACATCTCTCTGGAATCGGAAATATACCCTTTGTCGGAGACCTGAGAAGCTTTGGCGTCGCCATCTTCTTTCTCGAATTCAATCACTACCACTCGGTGAACTTCCTCCGTTATAACATCTTTAACGTCTTGATTATGATTTCGTTTCTCTGGGCTTGGAGACCAAACACCCGCCGCTGCANTTTAAAAAATGAGAACCTAATTTAATACATTAGTGTATTTGAATTGACTATAACACCATTTAATGATATGTCCGAAGTCAGCTTCTATATCATTTGGGCTCCAAAATAAATTAAATTTCCAAAGAAAAATACTATTTGGACCTAATTTAGAGATCTAATCTAGGGACCTAATTTAATACAACAATTGAATTGGTTGTGAATTCCATTTAATATTGAAACTCATAATTAATCTAATAGTTGTATTAAAATCACACCATTATGTCTCCAAATAAGGTCCTATATCATTGCTCATCCCCAAATTAGTTACACATAAAATTGCTCAAATTACATACCTTAGTGGCTCGAGGCTCCAAGTAAAGCAAGTTGGCCACAACCAACAAAAGCGAAGCCAAAAGACTACAAGCCTCAAACATCTCCACCTTACTCCAAAACAACCTGCGCCTCTGCCTTAACAAATGCCCCACCAAAGCCATCCCAACACCATAAGCCACCGCGCTGAAATAAACAGGACATATCTTACTCTGCACTATTCCAAACTGCTGTCTAGGCAAAGCCCCGGCAAGAACATAGCTCGAAATAAACGTAACCCACACACACGTCCCATACGCCGTCGAAAAACCCAGCAAATGAACCACACCCATCAATGATTCCATTGTTTCCGGAGAACTCACGTACGCTGCGACATCGTGCACGACCGCTCGAGCGCGATGAAAAATATTATTACCCTTTTCTTTAATCCTATTTGCGGTGCCTTTCACCTTCTCTGCAGCGTGCTTGGCCTTTTCTTCGGCTTTTTCCGCCTTTACGGTGACCTTTTCCTTCGCCATCCCCATTATTTTCGAGGCATTTTTCTCTATGTCTTCTACCATTGTCTTGGACATGTCCAAAGCTTCCTTCGCCACACGTTTCGCTTTCTCGACGGTCTCTTTCGCCATTTCTTCTACTTCCTGGGCCTTTTTTGATACTGTCTCTTTTGCTTTATGTGAAACTTCACCAACAGTCTCTTTCGCCTCTCTGGCCTTCTCTTTTGCCTCCCGGGCTGTCTCTGATGTCTCATGTCTTTTCCGTGCGACTGTTTCTCTTACTTTTCCAAGTGCCCCACTTACAGCGTCCTTTGCTTCTTCTTTGATCTCATAAACTTTATCTTCATGCGCTTTAGGACATGGGCTATGAGTATGACCACTCTGTTCGTCTTGCGGATAAGAGAGACCTTGNAGAAACTTCATGCGCTTTAGGACATGGGCTATGAGTATGACCACTCTGTTCGTCTTGCGGATAAGAGAGACCTTGACCCAAATTCGGAAGAACAGAAGACGCATCCTTCAGCTTCTCCTTTGCATCTTCTACGACACCCTCTACCGCTGGCGCCGCCTTCGATAACATCTCTCTGGAATCGGAAATATACCCTTTGTCGGAGACCTGAGAAGCTTTGGCGTCGCCATCTTCTTTCTCGAATTCAATCACTACCACTCGGTGAACTTCCTCCGTTATAACATCTTTAACGTCTTGATTATGATTTCGTTTCTCTGGGCTTGGAGACCAAACACCCGCCGCTGCAAGTGAGCTCAATACAAAACATAAAGCCACAATGTTCATCATCTTCTCTCTCTTGGCTCTGAATCTTTGAATGAGTTTTGGAGGTTATAGTTTACAGAATGTTAGGAAGTGTTTTTGAGAGGTGGTTGAAACTGTGGACTGTGTCCACGTTTCATATTGATGTACACGTGGTCCTTTGCATGTCTGCGTAGAATTCCACGTGCATTCGATCGGCAGCTTGTGGCCTTGCTGTAAAATGCCGTTATGCCTCCCAAGTTCTCGAACGTGGGTGGACCAATTGTGGGCACTAATTACTAGTGTTTTTTTTAACACTTTTTGTATTTTATCCGAGAGTTTTAGTATATTTTTCATTATCTTCGACGATTTGGTTTTACTTGCTGAATGTTATTGCGAAATCATTTATTAACATAATTAATTAAATATTTAAATTGATTATGAACCTATTATAACATTTTAAATAAAAGAGTATTTTTTATGTAAAAAACTCAATCTCACATTGATTAAATTTTAAAAATATATTAGTATATATATACTTAGTGTTATATAACCTTTGAGTTAAAGTGAGATCTTAAAACTCTCACATGCGTAGGGGAAACAAGCCTACGAGTTTCTAATATTTAAGAAACCCACTGACCTGCCTAGTATACACTTGCATGGAGACCCCCTAACTTTCCTCCTTTTAATATTTTATTTAATTATTTTTCGTCATTACTCTTATAATAAAATTTTAATTTTTGAATACTACACACTTGGGTAGCGGGCCCCCTAGCTCCCCTCTTTTTAATATTATATTTAATTATTTTTTATCTTAAATTTTATATTAAAAATTGAGTGAATACCAAATATTTAGGAAAACCCACTTACTAGCCTAGTCCACACCCAAGTACTGGTCCCCTTCCCTCGTCTCTTTTTAATATTTTATTTAATTATTTTTTGTCATAAATCTTATGTTAAAATTCAGTTTCTAAATACCAAATCTTATAACAACTATTTTTATTTAATTTTAATAGTTATTATATTGATTAAATATGAGAGTAATTACGAAATATTAAACATCTATATTTTTTGTATATATATTTACATAGTTTTGCATAGAGATATACACTCTGAATATCTTATATATTTTTCTATTATATAAGTTTTTGGGCAACAAGAAAGGTGTTGTGTAAAACTTTTACATTATTTGATTGTGTAAATCTGAGTGAAGCAACAGTCAATAGGCTGGGGTGTTGTATTGTAACGCCCCCAAAGCCCCTCGGACGACATCACAATTTAAAACCATTAACATCATGAGAGCAACTAATAAAATTCATAAATAAAAATAATTTCATTTATCATCCATAATAGATATAACATCATTCCAAAAGAATATATCAAACCATGACCATTACATCCCAAAATAATTAGCTATTATCTCGCAGAGGAATAACGAAATATGGTAGCTTTTACATTGTCTCAAAATAATTTCCCTAATTTAGAATCTAGGACAAAAAAGAATATAATTCTAGACCTCCATCTCGGGATCCACGTTCCCCCATCTATTGGAGCTTTTCTAATGTGCCTGTTCATCTACTCCGAGCTCCTACTCTANGTCCATCTCGGGATCCACGTTCCCATCTATTGGAGCTTTTCTAATGTGCCTGTTCATCTACTCCGAGCTCCTACTCTAGCACATAATCTGAAAAATATGTTGTTTGTAGGGAGTGAGCACTAAGCTCTGTAGCAACATACTCCCAAACTTGAACAAAGTTTAAAAAACATATAAAATAGTTTGGTCTCACTTTACAAAATATCATATATAATTTTGAAAGAAAATAATGACATTTCAATGGATCTCAATTTTAAGCAAGAGCAATAATTTAAATGAAAAGAATAAACATGTTGGAGTGATAGAAATCAAACAATAATTCAACAACGTAATCTCACATTCTCAGGTATGTTGGTTGTTTCTTATGAATCTACACCATGATTCTACCTCGTTTACCCACCACAATCACACAATCCCAAAAATTTTTAGGAAGGGCGTATATCGTCTGTCACGACATTGACGAATCCTTCCCAGAAAAAGTATACCATCCCTCAGTCTCGAACTTATGTGAACAATAGTAGTTGTTCTCACAAACAACAAACCACTACAAGTGTTAGGAAACCATGTCACCCCCACTGAAATAGACTAACCTCTAACACTNCCACCACAATCACACAATCCCAAAAATTTTTAGGAAGGGCGTATACCGTCTGTCACGACATTGACGAATCCTTCCCAGAAAAAGTATATCATCCCTCAGTCTCGAACTTATGTGAACAATAGTAGTTGTTCTCACAAACAACAAACCACTACAAGTGTTAGGAAACCATGTCACCCCCACTGAAATAGACTAACCTCTAACACTCTACGGCAGTACTCGAATGCAATTCAAGTCCATCACAACAACCATACAAGAGATGCAATAACAAATATTTTCTCAAATCACAAGAAAATCTAAAATTTCCAAATTTCACAATTTGTATTACAAGAGAACAATTTAAGAAAATAAGTAAGAGATCATCAACAAATCTATTTTTATTTTTTATTACAAAGCACTAAAGTTTTGAAATCAAGAACAAGGGAAAAAACAAGAGAAAAATTCATATCTCTTGGAGACTAGGGTTTTATGACAAGAAAAGAGTTTTCATAGTTTTGTTTAAAACATGGTAATCTTTGCAAAAAATAACAAGAAATGATGATTTCATAGCACATATATATAAATGAGGGTGAAACATACATATACATATAAGCCCTAACCTCAATGGTCAAGAATNTTTTATTACAAAGCACTAAAGTTTTGAAATCAAGAACAAGGGAAAAAACAAGAGAAAAATTCATATCTCTTGGAAACTAGGGTTTTATGACAAGAAAAGAGTTTTCATAGTTTTGTTTAAAACATGGTAATCTTTGCAAAAAATAACAAGAAATGATGATTTCATAGCACATATATATAAATGAGGGTGAAACATACATATACATATAAGCCCTAACCTCAATGGTCAAGAATGGAAGGAATCACTACCTTGTTTTGTAGTTTGGGAGGAAATGTAGAAGATTTGATCTTTCTATAAAATTCGGGAAAATTTGAACTTTTTTTCGGAAAAAGGGTAAAATGGTAATTTGTCACTATAATGCGGAATTAAAATTCATATTTTTCTAGAGCTCGGGTGATGCAACGGATCTCATCGCTGGATTCGTATCGCAAAATTGAGTCACCTAGAGAAATTTCGTCGAATTCTGAGATAGTTAAATTTTGCACGTATTTCAAAGTAATTGGGTGGCGAGTGACCTCACAAAGGTCCTCACAAATAATTTTTTTAAAATTTCCTTATAATTGAATTAAAATTCAAATAAAATTAATTTGAATTTAAATCGAGATGAAATTAATCATTTCGGGGTGAAAACGGACCTGGACAAGAGGGGCGTGTGGCGCNCAGATCTCATCGTTGGATTCGTATCGCAAAATTGAGTCACCTAGAGAAATTTCGTCGAATTCTGAGATAGTTAAATTTTGCACGTATTTCGAAGTAACTGGGTGGCGGGTGACCTCACAAATAATTTTTTTAAAATTTCCTTATAATTGAATTAAAATTCAAATAAAATTAATTTGAATTTAAATCGGGATGAAATTAATCATTTCGGGGTGAAAACGGACCTGGACAAGAGGGGCGTGTGGCGCGACGTACATCGCGCATCGGGGTTATAAATATCCTTAAAAATCTGATTTTCCAGCAGAAGACTCTACTAAAACCAGTGTGTTTAACGTGTGAGAGGAAGAGAGGAGAAAAGTGAGAAATCCAAGCTTTTTCCCTATGATTTCCGGAGTTTCGTCGGTCGAAATTCATCGGACCAAGAATTAAACTTCATCTACATGACAAGGGCTACGCAACCACACCAAAAACGAGGGATTTCATCGAAGATCTAAGGAGAGGATTTTTGAGAAATCAAGATTTGGAGGTGGTGTTGTGTTCTTGAAGGCTCTACACTTTCATTTACTCTCCAAGAGGTAGGGTTCCCTCCTATTTTGGTTTATTTCTAACCTATGGTGTCCATAAGGAATGTGTGGGCTATTTTGTGTATTTTAACACTTGTCTATTATAGTTGGTTTAATGAAAATGGGTATGCTCAATTCTAATGTGAATTGATAATTAGAAATTGCTAGTTTGTGATTTCTTGGAGGTTTTGATAATTGGGTATTTGAAAATCATTTATTTTGATTTATTTTGAGTTATGTGATAAATTTGGGCATTTTATGTGATTACATGATATGGTGCCTTGAAGGTATTTGATAAAATGCCTATGTGAAATAAAGTGTGTTATGTTGACATAGATTATGTAATAACATGCTTATGTTTGGTTGTTAAGTATAAAATATTGATATATGTTCATTGTATTTCCATCCTACGATGTTCATATGGAAGGAGGTAGGTATGTAGAATGTGTATATCACTTGTCTATGGTTATGAAAATGAGAAAATAGGTGTAGAATTGGTTTGATTCAACTTCTAGTTTGAATTTGATATGTGGAAGCACTTGTATAATTTCTTGGTGATGAAAATTATGTGTGCTTTAATATGTAGTAAAGTGAGTGTATTTAATTCATAAATCAGTGTGTGTGTGTGTGTGTGTTCTTGCTTGTTGGAAATTGAGAGTGAGGGAGAATAAAAGAGAAGGAAGAAAAACCAACTTCTTGCTTAAATTTGATATGTGGAAGTTATTGTTGTAAACTCTTGGAAATTGGGTTTATGTGGGCTGTTTTGTGTATTTTAAAGCTTTTTTATTATAGTTAGTTTAATGGAAAAATGGTAGGTACATGGAATTATGTAATGTACTTGCCTGTGGTTATGAAGTAGGTGTAGAAATGATTTAATAAAATTCTAGTTTGAAATTGATGGTTTAGTGAAATGGGTATTGAAAATGAGTAGCATGACTTGAGATAGATTCTCTTGTTTAATGTACCACTTGTGTATATTAAGTGTGAGAAATGAGTACCCAATGTGCTAAACACACCATG